GTCACTGCTGTGACACTTGTTCGGGGAGTGATTCTTCTCAACCTGGCCTCAGCTGGCCTGCCTCCCGGAATACTTGTTTCTGCCCTGTTTGACAGCAGTTTATGGGTTGCTTGCAGAGTAGAACAAAGACTGTTTTCCTCTGTTAATGCCTCATGGCACTGCTTTTGCCTATTTTCCTTCCACCCCTCCTCTGTATTCATGTGGCAGGATTTTGTTTTATGCTTTTAACATTATCACCTATGTCTCCATTAACAGCCATGTCTCTTCCCAGCAAGACTAATGAAAAGCATTTTCAAAAAACAGCTTTGGAAGAGATAAAATGAATGAAACAATCTAAACATGCTTTTATCTTCTGTCATTGGGAGTTCTTTAATTAACATACTTTCTGTTATAAATCAGATCGCTGGGGTGGTTAATGTGTATTTGCCTGTGGAATCTCAGTTGGGTCTGTAGTGCTTCAGAAATTACGATTGGTAGTTCAGTAAGATTCAGATTTTAAACCAGGTATCACTTCAAATGTTTTATTTTTATGTCTTGTTAACCAGTTATGTTTACGTTGTCAGTAGGCAATGTGTAGTGACAACAGTAATTTATGTTCTGTAGTTTGGATGCTTTTCCCAGAGCCTTCAGGATATTTTCCTTCAACATAAATTTATTGTGTGGTGTGGTATGGTTAGTTTTCAGTCTGTTTTTTGGTACTAAAGTAATAGTGTTTAAAATATTTAGGGATTTTCTCCTAGAATCGAAAGTTTCATGAAAACTTAGGGCACAGTATTAAGTATGATGTCACAAGATTGACCGTAAGAGAGTGAGGAAAAACAAGTAAAAACTTACTAAGACGCTGCACAAATTTACTGAAGAATTTTTAAGACGGAAATTTACTGTCTTAAATTATTGCATATCAATTTATAGTAATGTAGAACTGAAAGTGTTGCGTGTTAGAAAAAGAAGTAGTCACAAGGGATTAGATTGCTTGTCATAAATTCTTTAAGTTCTCATGCTGAGAAGGCTCAAGAACATGAAGCTTTGGTTACCCTGGAGTAACTTAATGACTGTATACAAAGTTAGCTGAGATCTTAATCTGACTTGAAGAATCCTAAAGAGTGGAATATATCTTTTGTATGCTTTACTCAGACTAATACATGCCCGATACGTCAAGTGTTCCCTCAGGCTGGCCTGAAAAAGACAGTAAGAAAGATGTTAAACCATGTGGAAGTCTGGCAGTCAACTTCTGTAGCTGGCTTCTGTTTCAGAGGCGTGGTGTTCTCTGCTAGCTCATATAGAGATAGATGGTTCACAGCGGGGTCGCGCATGGATAGGTGGAACTTAATCTGCTTTAACCCAGTAGCCTGAGTAGGCACAGCCTCACGGCCTCAGTAAATGGACCTAAGTTGCTTTGCCTTGGATACAAACCCTAAGGAAGTTAAACTCATGCAAAACATTAAAGCAACAATTTTTTCCTAAGATGACAACCCCAGAACAGTTCCTGAAAGAGGGGTTAAGTGTAGACCAAATGCAGTGATTAGTAGAGTGTGGGGAAACCCCCTTTTTTTGATAATTGTAGCAGGGTTCTGCTGTGCAAGCTGTGCTTGAGACACATTTGACATGCATATATTGTTATTTCTTGTAATATTGAGGTTTGATGACATGGGACCTTTCTTAAATAACAAAAAAGAACCTGAACGTGGGACAATGTGCAAAATATATTTTTGTTTACCTACACAGATTGGGAGATAACAGTTTCTTTGTTTATAGGGATGAAATCTGACCTTAGATGCTTTTTTGCTTGCTTAAGTGTGACATCATTAACTAATTATGTAACCTTATACTCTCTTTTAAAAGGTGGAAGGGGTCAGATAAAACAGAAAAAGAAGACTGTACCACAGAAAGTTACAATAGCTAAAATTCCTAGGGCAAAGAAAAAATACGTCACAAGAGTATGTGGCCTTGCAACGTTTGGTGAGTTGACTTTTGTAGTGTGGTCTTTGTTGGGTTTAGCTGCGCTTGCCTTTAACCTCGTATTTCTTCTGGTTGTATTGCGTTGAGTGATCTGCTTCCATCTGTGCGAGGTGGAAGTGCCAAGGAGCTTTTACCAGTTCCAAAGCATGCCAGAGGTACACTGACCTCCCTCAGTGATAAATTATTAAAGTCCTTATTTCCATGGTGTTTGCAAACACAGAGGGTTACGGGTTTTTTTGAAACAGGGCTTCCTATAGCATTCCACTTGTTAGACTTCAGAGTAGTCTATTGGCTCTAATTATAAACATGCTTATTTTCAAAAAGTTCCTTATTTCCATCAAACCTGTAAATACGTTATTGAGAATAATTTTACTTATTCTGGAGACTGATTAAGTAAGGCTTTAACGGCCTCTCTAGTGAGGCAGTCACATTATTACCAAAGTACGCTAACAACACTGTCTTACATTGCTTTGGTTCGGCTGCAAACAGCCACTTGGTGTTTATAACACCACCTCACTTCACATATTGATCATGAATTCTGTTAAAAAGTTAAGTTTAGCCATGGTTGTATTAACTGGATGTGTTACGTGTTTCCTGCGTGAGAGTATCGTCACTTTTCTTGAGGGATTGGTAATATGCACTAGCTTGGTCTGAGCTGGATATGTGTCTTTGTGCTGGAAGCCGTCTTGGAAACTGTCGGGACACGTTTCTGAAGGAAACTTACTGAAGCATTTCTATGGAAAAAACTTGTTGGATAACTATGGAGGTTACTCGGAACTGGAGGGGCTTTTTAATCAGTTCTGCATGTCTTTTTCTGGTGAGTGGGTGTAGCACAGACCTGCACAGACAGAGTGTGTGGAGGGCATTCAGCGATTTCTGCCTTGAAGAGTTCGCTGGATTTGTAGTCGGTTGTGTTCTGTGTGAACAGCAGACTTTTGCTTTCAATGGAGATTGTAGCAAAACTTGAACTGTAAACTGCCACTAGTTTTTCAACAGTTAAAACAAGATTCTGGTTTTAAACTTGAGGAGATATTTTTATGACAAGGACTGTACTTAAACTGTCCTTTTTCCCATCAACAGAAATTGATCTTAAGGAAGCACAAAGGTTTTTTGCTCAGAAATTTTCGTGCGGTGCCTCAGTAACAGGAGAAGACGAAATCATCATTCAGGGGGACTTTACAGATGACATCATCGATGTAATCCAGGAGAAGTGGCCTGAGGTAATAAACCCTTTCTGCTGTCAGAACTCGGGTTTTCCACAACAGCCTGTGACTTTCCAATGGTTTTGAAAAAGGGTTTCATCTTTGGTGGCACAGATTGTTGCACAAAAATAAAAGACCGGTGGTTGCGTTCCCAGCTATGAATGACTAGGTTAGGAGGGATTAAACGTGAAGTCAGATTTTGGTTGCATTGCCCAAGAAACGTTAACTCCCGAAGGACGTAGTGCTGTTCCTGTGGATAGCAGAGCGAGGAAGGTGTGTCAGAGTAAGTCCAACTGTCGAATACCGGAGGCTTCTTTGTGACTGTTTGTTAATGGTGAATGCCTAAGTATTCGTGCATTGCCATCCTAGTTTGAAAACTGTTTTAAAATGTTGCAAAACTTAAAAAACTAAAAAACCCACCAAAACCACACACTTGTGCTGCAGAAGAAGAGATGAGCTCCTTTGGGGTTGGATGAGGTGTTGAGGGGTTTGGTTGTGCTGCTGTAATGGTAGGCCGTTTCTTTGACTCTCCCTTGTTCTGGTACTTCTGGCAGTGGAGTTCTTTGTGCAGTGACTCTGCACCGGTCATTAGTCAGAGCCCCATGGGCTTGGCTGTGTCCGATGGGCACGTGTCCCTGGCGTAGCATTGGCAGCAGGGGAGCTGGATGGTGCTCTGTGCTTCTCCTACACTTTGTTATGTGTGCAGTGGTGAATACTGAGTTGTGTAAGAAGAAAATAAGCTTAATTGAGGAGCTACTGGAGGGAGTCCAATGGAGGGCTACAAAGATGATGAGGGGACTGGAACATCTCTCCTATGAGGAAAGGCTGAGGGAGCTGGGCTTGTTCAGCCTGAAGAAGAGAAGGCTGCGAGGGGACCTAATAAATGCTTACAAATATCTGCAGGGTGGGGGTCAGGAGGATGGGGCCAGACTCATTTCAGTGGTGCCCAGCGACAGGACAAGGGGCAATGGGCACAAACTGAAGCAGAGGAAGTTCCGTCTGAACCCGAGGAAGAACTTCTTCCCTCTGAGGGTGACGGAGCCCTGGCCCAGGCTGCCCAGGGAGGCTGTGGAGTCTCCTTCTCTGGAGATATTCCAGCCCCGCCTGGACGCAGTGCTGTGCAGCCTGCTGTGGGTGACCCTGCTTGGGCAGGGGGCTGGGCTGGGTGACCCACAGAGGTCCCTTCCACCCCGAACATTCTGTGATTAACATGCTGTTAACATGTGTTTTGGGCTTTTCTCCTAGGTGGATGATGATAGCATTGAAGATCTTGGAGAAGTCAAGAAGTGATAGTGAAAGACTACCTTTATTTAACTGTATGGTTATAAATGATGTAGCCAAAGTGAGGCTTCTCAGTCCATCTGCTCTGCAGTGAAACTGTGGAGAACCCTTATCCTTGGCATTTTCACCGTTCTGTATAGGCTGCTTGGGTTTTTTTGTTGTGATATTTGCCAAAGTTAAATTGGGGTTCTATCATGCTTATGCATGAAGTAGATTTAAATAAAATTACTGTTCCTCACTGCATACAGTTTCTGTTTTCTTTACAGCTGCTTTCTCTGACAATCTTACAGGAAAATAATAATTTATTAAAAGCTTATTTTTCATCTGCTGTCCTTTCTGCTGAACTTAAGTAAGGCATGTGGCTAATGTACAGAAACTCACACCTCTCGTGTGCCTGCGTGCAGACTTAGAATGGGACAAATATTCTACGAGTTTGCTAAGAATGAAAGGAAAATGAATCCTGGAGCGGTCAGGCAGTTGGCCTAGGTGCTGGCTGTAGGTCCCTGCCAGCTGAACTATTCTGTTCTGTGGAGTGGAAATGCTGAGGAGCGTGTGAGTATGTCGGAAACGTACGCCTGCTCTGTGCATGCTTGCGAGCAGCTTCCAGCACCGACTGCGTGCTCTGTGCGTTGCTGCTCCGCTGAACGACCTCAAACGCTCCCAGGCGGCAGAGGCCTGGGATTGGCGTTCTCCTGTCACCACAGAACCTCGATGAGGTCAAACCCAGCGGGGTGGTGTGTTGCACACCCTGGCCTCTACCAGTAAAGCTCTTTTTCAATGTGATTTTTGCTTGTAAGCTGATGGCTTTAGCTGAGAAGGGTGTAGCTAACGAGCAGGGTATCGCTGTGGTTGTAGCGTTTAAAAGTCGAGCGGAGTCGTTGCTGCCGTGCTGGAACATCCGCTCGGGTTCTTACTCGTATCCTATTAACAACATAATTAATT